ATATTCTGTTCTTTACGGTGATAGAGGGAATGCGTATTCATGTGTGTGTATACGTGTGTGTACATGTGAACCTACTTACATATATACTCATGTTGATATCGATATATACATTTATACATAAACATTACAGACTTTATCCTCTGTATTGAAGGGTTTCGCAAACCACAGTTTCAATCAACCAGATTGAAAATATTTTTAAAAATCTATATTGAAGAAGGACAGACTCATCTCTATTCTACTCATCTCTACACAACTCCGTATAACAACTGCTCACATAGCATTCACATTGGATTATGCACTGTGAGTCACTGAGGGCTTAAAGTATATGATAGGCTGGCTTGTATCTGCCTGATTGAGGGGGTCCTGGAACCAATCATCCCCAAATACTAAGAGACAAATGTGTTATTATTGTTATTATTATTATTATTGTACCAGAGATCGAACTCAGGACCTCACACTTGCTAGGCAGGCACCATGCCACTGAGCCATATTCCCAGCCAAATGTATCATTATTCTATACAACTACATTGGGTAGGAATGTTATAGACAGAGAGGGCTAGATCCTCTAGAAAGTCAAGACAAAAGGTGGAAAAAAGGCATATAACTATAGATGGTGACACATGAAGTTGGAGGTCAGGACTCAAGATAACCATAAAAGGATCCATTCCACATATTCCCCAAGGGGTGAGATAAGTGACAACACCTGGTCTAATAAACTCTAGCTAAGGGTCAGTCACCTCACTGGGCAAGCAAGACCCTTGATCCATCACCTACATGAGAAGCTTTTTGTTCTTCCAATGCCCACTCCCTATGTGACTTGCTTCTCCATTGGCTCAATATTACCTAAGCTGTCATACTTATAATCTTATTGGTTGATCATAGCGGTAACCCACATTGCACCCATGTGGTTGTGCTCTCTAAAACTTCCCCTGAAAAGTGGGGTCCTGGGTATCCCCTCCTGTCCCTCTCAGTCCGAAGCTTTCTATCCTTCATTAAGGATTTTCTACTCTTAACCTCCATTGTTCTTACAATTCATTCTTTGATTTTAGAGAACAGGAACTTGGTGTGTTAGAAATGTAACAGGTTGAGAGTTACGGTCCCCTTATATCATATTTGGAGGTCTGATACCTGTGTCAATATTATGTCAAAAGAAAAGTTTACAAGTTCATTAATAGAGATCAGCATAGAGTATATAAACCTATCAAAGAAAGCACATGTATTTCACCCAAATTTGACTGTTTATGAGTATTGTTAATAGTGTAATTTAAATGTCCTACATGGAACCTACCTATGAATTTAATAATATATCATGAACAAACAAGGTTTTTCCTTCTGACAATTAAAAAAGTTCTGCACAAAGAAACATTTTGATTTAGTTCATCATACTAAAAGGTGAAATTTCAAGATACCTTCATACAATGCCAAAGCACACCTATACCTGAGGGGAACAAAAATCAACTTTCTAAGCCAAAAATAAATATGGCGAACAAGAAAACATAAACTTTTTCATTAAAGACAGGAACAAAATAAAGTTCCCTTCTCTAAACACTGCTATACAATATTGTTCAGGTGGTTCAGTGAACAATGAAACAAAGTGATGAGTGATATTGAACCAGGTGTGGTTGCTCATGCCTGTAATCTGAGCACTTGGAGAGGCTGAGGCAGGAGGATTGCAAGTTTGAGCTCAGCCTGGGCAATTTAGCAACTTAGCAAGATGATACCTCAAAATCAAAAAAAAAAAAAAAAAAAAAAAAAAAATCAATAGGACCGGAAATGTAGCTCAGTGTGAGGATTCTGGGTTCAATCTGCAGTACCAACAAAAACAAAAAATGGAAACAAAACAAGACTTATATTTTAAATACCAAATCACATACTAAATGAAATAACAAAAGTCAATACTGTGAAAGATATTTGCACTATAGAAGCTCTTACAGACGAAGAGACCCATTCCCCAAAGTGAGGAATCCCAACCAAGGGTTCAAAGAAGCACTTCTCACAGGGAAAAACACTAACAATAGCCAATAAACAACAATAAGCAGACTAAGAAGCCACTCATCTTTAACAACAGAGAAATGTAAATAAACCAATAGTCTAAGCAGTTGAGGATTCTGAAAAATCATTCTGGTTGTGGAGAAGGAAGCTTAAGAGGTAAGCACACTGTTGATTTCTTTTGCAAAAACTTTTTAATAAGATGAGATTCCTGCTGTTGATTCTGTGAAGTATTTCCCAGGAAGTTTGGTTTTTGTTTATGAGGTGTCTGCCTACCCCTGTGTCTTCAAGATTTCTATCTACTTTCTCTTCCAGTAGACTTAGTGTTTCTGTTTTATATTTAGATCTTTGATCTATTTTGACTTTAGTGCATGGTGATAGACATGGGTCTAGTTTTAGTCTTTGCATGTGCAGAGTCAGTTTTCCCAGCACCATTTATTAAAGAGACTATCTTTCTTCCAGTGAATGTGTTTGGCCCCTTTGTCAAAGATAAGGTGGGGCCAGGGGTATAGCTCAGTGCCATGGTGCCTGCCTGGCAAGTCAAGGTCCTGAGTTTGATTCTCAATTAAAAAAAAAAAAAAGCTAAGGTGACTAAATGTTTATAGTTGTGTCTACTTCTTCTAATCTTTTCCATTGGCCCTCAGGCCTGTTTTTTTGTTTTGTCTTGTTTTGCCAGTACCATGCCAGTTTTATCATGGTAGCTTTGTAATATAATTTCAAGTCAGGGATTGCGATACCTCCTGCCTTGTCTTTGTTGCCCAGGATTGCCTTTGCTATTCTAGAGCTCTTCTGTTGCCAACTGTACCTCAGACAAAGGACTTCTATCTAGAACAATGAAGATTTGAAAAAACTCAAGACTCCCCCAGATTCAAAGACCCAATCCAAAAATGGGCATCAGAGATGAATACACATTTCTCAAATGAAGAAATACAAATGGCAAATTAAATATATGAAAAAATGTTCAACATCATTGGTCATTTGAGAAACACAAACTAAACCAATATTGAGATTCCATCTTACCCAGAAAGAATGGCCATCATCAAAAAATCAACCAGTAACAATGCTGGTGGAGTTATGGGGGAAAAGGAGCCTTTCTCCATTGTTGGTGAGAGTATAGGCTGATATAACCATTGTGGAGAGTCCTCAAAAAAACTAGGATTAGAGGTCCCATTCCACCCAGCTATTCCCCTTCTGGGTATTTTCCCAGGTGAATTAAAAACATCATACCACAGTGACACATGTGCACCCATGTGTATAGCAGTACAATTTGTAGTAGCTAAGTCTTGGAAACAACCCAAAAGCCCATCAACAGAGGAATAGGTTAAAGACACATTCTTCTATAATGGAGTACTACTCAGCTGTAAAGAAGGATACACTTGAGGCTTTTATAGATAAATGGATGAAACTAGAATCCATACTCATAAGTGAAATAAATCAGACCCACATGTGTCAACATCATATTGTCTCCCTAGTGCAAGAAACTGAAAAAGTAAATAAGATCCAAAATCTACAATATATATTGGGAAGAAAGAAACAGCACAAAAGTAAAGAAAAACTGAGATGAGTGAAAAGATAACAGAAGAAAGCAAATATATATATATATATATATATATAATAGCTAAGCTAATTATACTACCAATATCTCTTATTAGTTCATTGGAAAAAAATGATTTGTGCTTATATTGTTTGATCAATTATACATGCTTATATCTTGGGATCTTCTTTTTGAAATCCTGTATCTTTTCAATCCCTGGTACTGATAAAAACGAAAAAGAAAAAAAAAAAAAAAGAAAGAAAGAAATCCTGTATCTTTGTTTTTACTGTTTTTTTCTCTTTTAAAATAAAAACAACAAAAAAAGAGGTAAGCATAGAAAGTTGAGAGTCAAACAGGCCAAGAACTCTTAATTTCAAGGAAGCGCTGAGAAGCCTCTGGAGAGGGTTAACTATTTCCCAGTGGTGGGAAGTTCACTCATGTGCTCTCTCTTCCTGGTTAAAAGGGAAGCAAGACCTTCGGAGGCCATCCATTCTCTCTGTGTCATGTTTCTGAAAAGAAATACTCCGAGTAACGATGGCTGCTGAGGAGGGAGAGGGGAGGGGAGGGAATCAGACGGCAGTGGACAGGAGACCTCGCTCTTTGTGTGAACTTTGTGAACTATAAAATGCATTCTCTATTTAAAAAATGGAATTAAAACCTGTTTAATAAAAATAAGTCAGCTTGATTTTTCCTTTTTTCTTGTCACATAGATATTCCCAGAAGTCATTTAGACTTTTCAGACAGAAACTATCTAGCTCCATCTAATCCTAGAATCCAGCCTTAGAAAGGGATCCTTAGAATCCAGTCTGACTGGGGCTGCGGATTTAGCTCAGCGGCATAAGCGCCTGCCTTGCAAGTGTGTAGTCGTGAGTTCGATCCCTGGTACCGATGAAAAAGAAAAAGAAAAAAAAGTGAAAACAACAACAAAAAAGAATCTAGTCTGACTGAAAAGTCCCTATTGGCGTTTACAGAAAATTAAACAATTAAGACTTTCCTAAAGGTGTTTGGTGACATGTGTCAAAATGTACAATGTCTGTTTTTGAGACAAGATCTCATTATTTGGTTCAGGCTGGCCTTGAGCTCACCATATTGCTGGCTTCAAACTGCCAGCCATCCTCCTGCCTCAGCCTCCTGAGCGCTGGGATAGCATACATGCACCACTATGCGCTGCTCAGAATGTACAATTTTTATACCCATCTACCTCACAATGGTACCACTAAAAATTGTGCCCTAAAGAAATTATTGGGCAAGGCTGTTTCTGCAGAATTACATACTACAGGTGGCATTGGAGATTCCAACTGGAATCCACTCGCACCGGAGACAGCCCTCTTCGATTGAGGTCCCTAATATGCAAGCTGTAGGTCCGTGGATGCTAGGCCACATGTAGCACCTCAGAGGCCAGCGCCTCTCTGCGTCTCTGCTCTCCCCATCTGTCCCTGTCTCGGGATTGCGCACTCCACCCTGGGGACCCACTGACCTTGTCTGTGTGGGAGTGCGGTGGTTGGGGTTGGAGCAGAAGATGTTGTTGGACTTGCGCGTGCCGTCCAGGAACTCGTGTGCCGAGTGCTGGCGGAGCTCGGCCAGCGGCCGTGCCTCATGCTTAAGGAACCACTGGTGTGCCTCGAAGCACTTGGCACACAACAGCTGCTCGCACTCGAAGCACCAGAAGTCGGCCAGCTCCCTGCAGCGCGTGCAGGCGGCCTGCGCGTCCATGATCTGCTGGTACAGCGTCAGGCGCCGCTGCAGGCTCTCGAAGAACACGTTGTCCAGGACAGGCACGGAGCCTGCCGGCTGGGGCTCCTGGCAGATCGGACACTGCAGACCTGGGCCCTCTACACATGCAGAGCACAGCGAGTGCAGGCAAGGGAGCAGCTTGGGGCACTTGGCTTGGGTCTGGCAGTTCTGGCAGTTCAGGAACTGGAACTCCTCCTCTTCGGCTTCCTGAGGGTTCAGAGAGGGGGAGGTAAGGCCCAGAGAAGTTCCAGCAGTCTCTGCCCTTGGCACTGCCCGTTAGCCAGGGCTGGAGTGGAACCTGACACCCGGGCATAGGCAGATATGCAAAATCCTGGCTCAACAATCATCTGCTCAGGACGTCCCACCTCCACTGCTCAGTTAGTTCAGCATCTACTTCCTTAGTATCAATCTCAGACCAGCACCTTGAGAGATAAGAGTGTACAGGATACACACCTGCTGTCAAGGAGCTGGGTGTGAAAATAGATCAGTAACTACCAACTTCATGTACAATGCTGAACAGTCAAGGAGGAGCTCAAAAGGTTGAACAGAGAGCTAGCACATGACTCAGAGACTCCTTGCAGATAAAATAGCCAAGAGCACTGAAAACCCCAGATACTTCTATTGGGATTTTCTAATGCTGATGTGGCAGCATTAGCTGTAATACCCCGCAGAACTGCAAACAAAGACACAGACATTTGTAGTCTAATGTACCCTCCTGCAGGTAGCAGCACTAATCACCACAGCCAAAAAGAACCAACTAGTGTGTCCCCAGCAGAGGAGGAGGTAGCCAGATTTTGGTCTCCACAGAGAGTGGGTCATTATTCAGCCTTCGAAAGGGTAGAAATTTTGATACATGCAACTAGACTTCAAGACTGCATGCTAAGTGGACTAAATCATAAATAATAACCATAGGATGATGTTATAACTAAGGCCCCCTAACTATCGTAAGGTGGGTTCTGTTCTGTATAAGCACCACCTGCTGCTTTCCCTCCCTTTCCCCCTTCACATCTAACTAGGTTAAGTTTTAACTTCCCGAAAGGCCATAAAACAAAGGCCTGAGGTAATAGCTCCCGACAACCCCCTTCCCTACCTGGTAGCCCATCCAAATTGTGTTAATTGCATTAGATTGTACTATTCTTCACAAAAATAGCTTCGTTTGTATCATAGCAATACCTGTGTGTTCCTTTTCCCTTTGGGTAAAGGATTGATATGTTAATCAATGCTCTCCTCTGTAAAGAATTGTAAAATCTTACCTAATTGATATGTTAACCATTGTTGCCCTCCACAAAATAACAGTTGTGGTGCTAAAGTAAGGTAACTAAGGTTGTTAATTGTTGTTAGACTTCCATATTCTTTGCTAAGAAAAACAAGATTTCTTCTTATCTAAACTTGCTTGTACGCAGGGAGACTTGCTTGTTAGCACAACCCTTACCTGATCTTGCACCACACCCCCAGCCCCCTCCTTACATTGTGTGACCAGCAGCTGTTTCTGGATTTACTTTTAGCTGTCAGGTGCTCAGTCTCCAAATTGGTTCCTGGAGGCTGTGTCACCAGGCCTGGAAATAAAGCCTTTTTGCTTCCCAAATTTTAATTTCTTGCTTCCTTGGATTTTATACCAGGGTCCGAGTTATCACAGATGCCATTTATATGAAATAACCAGGTTCACACACAGAAAAAGAAAATAAAAGATGATCAGGAAATGAGGTGCTAAAGGGGCAACATTTTCAGGGTGTTGAAAAAAGTACTGGAAATAGATGCTGTCACGTTTACACACAAATGTGACTGGACTTAATGCCACTGAATTGCACACTTAGACACGGTTAGCATAGTAACAGTCGTCGGTTTGTGTGCTTCACCGTCATACAGGAGGAAGTCCCCAAAATGTGCTCACTACAGTGCCTGGTGACTGCCACTGCTGTTAATGCTAATTAGCATTTAATAGTAATATTATTCTCAGTGCTAATAATCAAAAATATAGCCACACCGTGTGACTCGTGCCTTTACAAAAGGGAGCAAAAACAAAACAAAGAGGAGCTAAGTGTCTCCTACTGGGATGGGAAGGGGGTGCCTGAGGCTAAGGCAGGTTTTCCACGAGGGCTACCTAACAAGCCCTATGGGGTGCACAGTGGCCCGAAGGGGTTTCAATAGAAGGCCTGGCAGAAGCCAGGAAGTTGTGTGGAGGCCTTTGTCCAAGTACATCTCCGGTCCGGTTCACAGGTCTCCATTTCCGGTTTGGGAACTTGGGAGTTCTGGTTTGGTCATGCTTGAGCTCTGCCCCTTGCTCCAGGCTGTGGGGTGGGATGCCACATTCATTCCCTCTAAAATGTGGGCCCGTGGGGGGGGGGGCTGGGGTTAGAAGGCAAGTTGGGGGGGGCTGTTCCATCTGCCCAAAGGACTGTGTGTGGCCAGTTATGGACCCCGTCTGCTATGTCCTACTGGCTCTGCCACTCTTCTAGCCAGGAGGGTCAGGATCCCGTGTGTGTGGCCTTCTTGCTGAGTGTCACTTTAAGGTGCTTCGCCACATTCTCCACGATGTGTGCCTCTACCCAACTCTCCCGCCACAGCACACCAATCACACCTAACCCCCTGTCCCCAGACCCATTAGTACCTCTGCTGGACTGTGGCTGGGGCTGGCCTGATGCCTTTCAGAGAGGGCCTCCGGGGACGGCATGGTGGGTGGGCTGGGTGGGCCAGGGTCCTGCTGGAGGCCTGGAGATCCGGTTACTGCGGGTTCCTGCTGCATGGAGCCCAGCGCAGGTTCCCGCTGCACGGAAGTCAGCGCAGTTTCCAGCTGCACCGAGATCAGCTCAGTTTCGATTCTCTGCTTAGATTCGCAGGGTGGGAGGAAGAGTAGGAACTAGCAGGGCGGAGCTGTCCAGAAGGGAGGTGCCTGCTCAGGGCCCGCCTCCTGAGAGGAAGTGAAACGGCAGGGCAGGCCTGGAGGTAGAAACGGTGGGTTTACAGAGGATGTCACATCGTGGAAAGAAGAGCTGAGCTGCCTTTGTAGAAGAAGCCCCAAACAGCTTGAGTCCACCCTAGCTGGGGCCAGACACAGAGACAAACCACACACAGCTTTCAAGGAACCTGATCTAGTGGAAGAGCTGATCCCCAAAGGGAGATTTTCATGCAGTTTTGGGAATGGCTGCAAACGAGACCCCTCAGCTGGGATTTGTGGGAGCAGTAAGAATGCACCAGAGATTCTGCGGTGGGAGTCACTTAGAAAGGAGAGACCGGCATGTACAAAAGGAGTTTGCAATGGGACAGCCTGTTTGGGGAGGGTTTAGGCTATTTTCAGACTGAAGAGGTGACTCACAAATATTCCAAGGTAGGATTGTGCTAAGGAGTTTGGACCCATTATGGAGGTGACAGAGTTAGTAAGGGGTTTGGAGATGGGGAACCACAGGATCAGCTCTGCATGTTTGGACAGTGACTCTGACAGCCTAGGGACAGGGGACCTAGCCTAGTAGGTTGGATGTAGGATGCAAAAGAACCTGAGGCAGACACTGGGAGGACAGTCACTTGAGACGAGGGCACAGGATGATAGGTTGAGTGGGAGTCAGGAAGGGAGGCGAACAGGCAGGGTGGGGGCAGGGAGGGGGAGCAGGACAGCAGTGCGAAGAGGGTAAAAACACAGCAAGTTAGGACTTGGTTCCTGAAATACAGGCTAAACCCCACCTATAGACAGCCTTATCGGGTGAGAATCCCTGGCTTCAAACTTCAAACCATCACTACTGCTGTGCTGGTTTATGTGCCCATTCTGTGTTCTGTTCCAAGGAGGACAAACTGAAAAAGGGTGGTGACAGATCCTTGCACATGAGGCTGGAATGAGATCCAACATCCAGGGACCTGAGAGGTCTGGGGAGCATGCCATCCTGCCGACCTGGCCAGCACCTCCTGACAGGAAATCAATCCACTGGACCAGGAAAACTCAAACCTGAGGGCAGCCATCTGCATGAGAGATCTAGAAATGGGCTATGAGCCAGGTGTGGTGGTGCACATCCATAATCTCAGCACTCAGGAGGCTGAAACAGTAGGATACCTGTGAATTTGAGGCCAGCTTGGAATATAGAGCAAGATCTTATCTCAAAAGAAACAAAACAAACAAACAAAAAAAAAGTCAGGCATGGTAGCTCATACCTGTAATTCTACTACTTGGGAGGCCCAGGCAGGTGAATCTCTGTGAGTTCCAGGCCAGCTTAAGCTATATAGCGAGTTGAAGGCCAGCCTGAACTACACAGTGAGACTTTGTCTCAAAAAACAAACCAAAAAACCCAAACCAACAAACAAAAACAAATGCGCTGTGATGAGGATGGAGGGTGGAGCTGAGGGGACTGAGGATTTGGAACTGGGAAAGCTTTATTAGTTTTTTTGCTTAAGTTGAAAGAAAGCCGGCCCCAGTAACATCCTGGTGGGTAAAATGTTTGCTGTGTGTGATGTCGGAGGAGCTGCCCTCAGAGCTCTGGGTGGGCTCCCTGAGCGATCCCTCTGCCTAAATGCAAGCCTTTCTGTTCCACCGTCTCCACGGTGAGCTGACGATATATGACACAACGAATAGCTACTGCACTCTGCCCCGTGACAGCCTTGCTTGCTGCGCTGTGGAGGGGCACAAGGAGTTCTCTGCCGGCTACAAGCCCCGGAGAAACCTTAATCCAGCGTGTGAGTCTGGAGAAGGGGTGCTGATAATCTCACTCCCTTGATCCTGGAGATGTGGCTACTGACAGCCTCTTGGGAAGCCCACCAGTCCCTCACTTTCTAAGGTGAAAGTAGGAACGAGGGGGCAGTGACCCCTGCAAGCTCCCCAGAACTCAGACCTTTCCCCCACGCCCACACTTCGGTCCTCCAGGCTCAGGGGGCGCTGTGGGAAGTGGGTCCGATCCCGCCGACTTCCTGCTCTCCCTCCATCCTGCGGCCGCGGGTGAACCCGGAAACGGCGGGGTGGAAGCTGCGGGGTTCTGGCGCTGCGCATGCGCTGGGTGTGGCTCCCATAGCAACCATGCTGGACCGGGCCGGGTATCGGGCGCTGCCGCTGGGCGATTTTGACCGCTTCCAGCAGTCGAGCTTAGGCTTTCTGGGCGCGCAGAAGGGCTGTCTATCCCCGGAGCGGGGTAGCGTGGGGCCAGGGGCCGGTGAGTGGCCCCCAGCAAGGCGGGCCCGGGGGACTGCGGTACTCCCAGGCCCAGTCTCTGCCTCTTGGGCATCCGAGAGATGAGATGTGCGGTGTGGATAAGGTCCGACAGCCCCAGATCTCGCGGGGTCCTCATCTCCCCGAATCTCATCCCAGCATGTTTCTCTGGCAGAGCAGAGACCCTTAGTTTCCTTAAGCAGGTCTAGGCAGAGGAGGTCACCGGTACCTGACGGCTGCCTCCCTGGTGGCTAATGAAGATGCAAAGAGCAGAAAGGCTGCCGCTTGTGCCTGTCCCGGTCCTGTCTTGCCCCAAAGCCTCCTGCAGCTCCTTTGGCTCAGGCCAGATCCCACACGTCGCAGCCTGACCCAGGAGGATTTGGGCCCTCCCTGCACGGATGACTACCCTGTCTAAGGATTCAGCCAGGCAAGAAGCAGAGTCCCAGTGCCCTGGGGCCTGGGATTTCCAAAAGATGAAACACAGGCTCTTGTCTGCTGCATGTTCAAGACTAAGAGGAGAAGAGGAGCAGAGAATAAGCCCAGGCCTAATTCTGGGGCTCTGTCAACTTCAATCCTGGGCTCTTGGATCTCTCTTTGGCCTGAATGAGACTTAAATTCTTAGGTCTCACCCCCAGCTGCTTGAATTGAAATATAAACTTTAGTGATTCTTCAGGCATAAAACGGAATGAGGACTAGAAAAGGAAATCTTAGCCCTGTGTTTCACTCCTATTAATAGGCAAATTAATGGTGTGTGCTGTAGACGGAGGCATCATCTCCATAAGAAACCCTCGAAAGCACGTGTCTGGTGCTGTTGGTGGAGGAGGGAGTGTGTTATTCCAGCAGTATTCAGTTGACTGCAGCATGTGTTTATGGATGTCCAGGTACATCCTGCTCTGTGCCAAGCATGTGTAGGCAAATAGAAGACGAGGCCTTGACTCTGCTCAATGAGGAGAGCAGGCTGGGAAATGGATTCTCAGATTCAGGGGCTGTCCCCTAGCAGAGAACAAGCCCTTTGTGAAGGTGGTTGTGCTTTAGACAGATCAGTTTTGCTGGAGGGAGGATAGAACCATCCCTGATGTCCACCTTTCCAGAGATCCGGGCCTAATAGGCAAGGAGCTAAACTGAGAGCTAAATGGAAAGAAGGGGAAGGTGGTTGATGGGTGCTTACTATGCTTGCAGCTGTTCTGCCAGCCTCCACCAGAGCCATGACTCCTCTGCTGTCTTGCCCCCAGATGTGCCCCAGAGCTGGTCCTCCTGTCTCTGCCATGGCATCATCAGCTTCTTGGGATTCTTGCTGCTGCTGCTCACCTTCCCCATTTCTGGCTGGTTTGCCCTAAAGGTAAGGCTGGCTGGTTCAGGCCCAGCATGGTCAGGCCACAATGAAGTCTCTGGAATTGATGCATCAATTCCCCATATTCTGTACTTTGCCCTAAATATTATTATATTTCTCTGAAATGGGCAGGGGAGGTGCCACCTGTGAGCTTTTCTGTTGCTGGGACAAAATACTTGTCAGAGACAATCTGAAAGAGAAAAGGATTATTTTGACTCCATTTCAGAGGGTTCAGTCCATGGTCAGCTCACACCAAGGCAGGAACATCATGGAAGAAGGGCCTGGGGAAGGAAAGCTGCTCACCTCATGGCAGCCAGGAAACAAGGCAAGAGTCAGAGAAGGGAAGGGGCTGGGCCAGGGTACAAGCTGGGACTCATCCATTGATGAGGATAGTGTCCGCTTGAGCCAGTCACCATCCCAAAGTCCCACTTTTCAGATAAAGTTACTGAAACCCATATTTACCCGGAGTCATTCTGGGAGCCAGGAAGGAATAGAAACAAGTCTTCCCAGACTCCCGAGTCTTGGGATGTAGTCACAGATATCCTGTCCAATCATCCTCCCTTTGTGTTAGGCCAAGTTAGAAATCAGGAAGATCATGTGCAGTAGGAAGTCAGAGCTTGCTTTCAACAAAAGTGGTGCAGGCAGGGAAAGAATGGCTGGTAGAGCTGCTGTTCAGCATTGTAGCTAACCGTAGGCTCCAGGCAGGCTTTACCCTTCCAAGATCCCTAGGCACCTGTTGCTTTAGAAAGCCTCTGGTTGGGATGGTCTGGAAAGGAGTCCTTGGATTGTCCTGGGAACTAGTTCTAAAATGCCATGGAGACACACTGTGTGAGCTTGGGCAAGTCACTTTGCCCTTTGGAATGAACAGGGCTCATGTCGCAGGGCTCTAAGAATCTGCAGTGGCAGAACCTTTGCTCAGGTACTGTAAGATCTTCCCAGCCTCTTCCTCTAGGAATTCACAGGGAGATGGGTAGGAGTCATGGCTAGCTGCCACTAGAGGTGAAGTTTTCATGGGGCAACATCAATGCAGTGGACTTTGGAGTCATTCAGACTGCATTCAAATCATGCCCTTTTCCTGCAGGGGCTGTGCGATTCCTGGGCACCTCTTCTGAGTCGGTTTTCTCATCTAGAAACAGCTAAGGATACTGGATTGTGACCAAGGCGGAGGGGAAGGAGGGACCTGGGCAAATGTCACTGGCCAGCCTAGGCCAACCACTTCTAGCCTTTCTCTTTGCTACCTGGACAGATTGTACCCACCTATGAACGGATGATCGTGTTCCGTCTGGGCCGCATCCGCAACCCACAGGGGCCTGGTATGGTTCTGCTCTTGCCCTTCATTGACTCCTTTCAGAGAGTAGATCTGAGAACACGAGCCTTCAACATCCCTCCTTGCAAGGTGAGGGGCTTTAGCCTGATGTAGTGGTGTACACTCATAATACCAGTGCTCTGGGAGGCTGAGGCAGGAGGATCTCAAGTTGGAACCCAGCCTGGTCAGCTAAGCAACTTTGCAAGACCTAGCCTCAAAGGGTTGGGCTATAGCTTGGCACGAAGGCCCTGAGTTCAATCTCTAGTCCATGTGTGTGTGAAAGGCTTCTTGGCTGCCTCCCTGGGTGGAGAGAGTAGAGTTTGTGCTGAGTGTACTGTGAATACTAGTTGGTCTACCGGTAGCTGTCTGGGGCAGTGGGATAAAAGAGACTGGGAAGTTGAGGTGGCGCCTGGGAGAGTACCCTTGTTCCATATCCCTGACCACATGTCCCTGGGGATGCCATTTGGCCTGTGAGGAGCTCAGAGTCAGGCAGGTGGGTCACGCTGAGGTCCCTGCAGCCCTAGGCCCTGAGCACCTTCTCTCCTGGCTGCCCCACCAGCTGGCCTCCAAGGACGGGGCTGTCCTGTCTGTCGGGGCCGATGTCCAGTTCCGCATCTGGGACCCGGTGCTGTCGGTGATGACTGTGAAGGAGCTGAACATGGCCACGCGCATGACAGCCCAGAACGCCATGACCAAGGCCTTGCTCCGGAGGTCACTACGGGAGATCCAGATGGAGAAGCCCAAGATTAGTGAGCAGCTCCTGGTAGGCAGCTCCTCCTGGGGGAGAGCTTGGCTGCTGGCGCCAGGCCTGGCTTCCCTGCCTTGCCTGGTTACTTTGAGCAAGAGCCAGATGGCTGCAGGTGTCAGTTGACCACGTGTCCCTAGAGGGTAGCTAGGCTCAAAAAACTAGGGGTCCAAAGGGTGCTATGCATTAAGGTGGCCATACAGCCACCATGGGCCAGATATCCCTAAGCAGGGGAAGTGCCTGGGGAAATGCTCAGGACTCTGACTCTGAGGTTTCACCCTTGGCTGCTGCTACTGTTGCTATGACAACCCGGGACTTCTGAGATCCTGTGTGTTCCGTGCTAGGTGGGTGTGGGGAACAGGCAGAGCCCCCCGCCCAGTCACTGCTGGGAAGGTCCACGAGGACACTGGGCTCCCTTCCCTGACTTCTCCGTGTATGTGAAAAAGTGCCTGGAGTTTACCTGACTTCCTGTTTGCCGCCAGCAGGGGTAGAAATGGGTGCACACATGGTGGCCTGTCCATCGAAGGGGTTGGTCGGTGCTCAAGGCTGCAACTGAAGCTTAGGACGGCAGCGCCCTCCTGCCAGCCCCAGCGCAGGCCTGCATCTCCCATTCTCACTTGGCTTCCACACCTTTCAGCTCAGGCGTGCAAACCCTCCAGCCACTCACACACGAGTGGACTGGACTGGGCCTGTCTTCCTGCTGCAGAGGACCCCCCTGCCCCAGCACGTCTGCTGGCCAAGCAGTGCTGGGGATACACCTCTCCAGGGCCCCCTTTCTCCATCTCTCTGTTTCCTCTCCTTCCTGCATTCAGCCCTGCTCCCCACATCCCTTCTTCCCTCAGCCATACTCTCTCTGGCTCCCCCCACCCCACTTCCTGCTGGAGGCTGCCGTTCTCCCCTCCCACCCTGGGTCCAGACATCCCCAGGCTCTGGGCTCAGGTCATGGTGACCTTTGTCTTAAGTCCTGCATACCCTTCACTTGGTGGCAGCATTTGGCTCTGCTCCTTCTCTGTCCCTTGCCTCAGGGTCTGTCGCCTTCACCCCAGCTCATACCTTCCACCAGATCTTCTTCCTGTCTGGTCTGCAGTTTGGGACACTGTTACCCTTGGTCATCCCACTGCATCCAGTCCCCACACAGCAGCCAACAGATTTCTTTCCTAAAAGCGGGTCTGCTCTGTGTACCCCCGACCCCGACTGCAGTTCTTCACTGCCCAGAATAAACCCCTGAGCAGGAAGAGGCTGTGTTGGACCTGTCAGCTGTCCCCACTGTCCCAGCCCACACTGTAGGCTCAACAAAATGGAGTTGATTCCTGAACATTCCAGGTTCTCTGGCCCGGGCTTTACATATGCTGTTCCCATTTCCTTTAAGGTCCCTGTCCCCCTGCCTGTGTGGCCCCCCTCCCGTCTCAGCTCTAATGCACTGATACATCCCAGGGTAGCAGCTTCTCTGGGGCAGATGTGGTGTCTCAAGATTAAATTCCCCACTGTCCTCAGCTGGAAATCAACGAGGTGACCAGGGCCTGGGGGCTGGAGGTGGACCGAGTGGAGTTGGCAGTAGAGGCTGTGCTACAGCCACCCCACGACAGCCCAGCTGGGCCCAGCCTGGACAGCACCCTGCAGCAGCTGACACTGCACCTGCTGGGCAGAGGCACGAACTCGATGGCAGGAGGTGCACTGCCTCCAAGGCCAGGTGAGCTGCAGGAAGAGGGCGACCATGCTTGCCAGCCCTGTAACTGAGCACCTCTGTGCAGTGTACAAGTCTGGGTATGTGGGCAAGGGCAGGTTCCTTGCAGCCTCTTTAGGGCAGGCAGCACTCTAGGAGGGTCACTGGAAAGAGTAAGGGTGCCTTAGAGACAGGATTTGGGGTTTAGGCTGGACATAGTGGTGGGGGAGAGCTTAGAAGAGGACATTGAACAGAGGTCTGAAGTGACAGTGGTCACCATGAGCCTGCCCTTGGCATCCCACTTACCTTCCCATGTCCTTGCCAGCATTGGCTGCCACCCCGGTGGATACCTTGGAGATGGTAAGGGAGGTTGAGCAGTCAGCTATCCACACTGAGGCCTGGACCGGGCCCAGTCCGATGCAACCCGTGGCCGAGGGGCTGCTGACGGCCCTGCAGCCCTTCCTATCCGAGGTCCTAGTCAGCCAGGTTGGCGCCTGTTACCAGTTCAACATCATCCTACCTGGAGGCACCCAGAGCACCTACTTCCTGGACCTCACTACAGGTGCTGCTGTGCCTGTCCTGCCCCCACCCCCCACCCCGCTCGCTTCTGCCCCCCGCCCCAGGGTTTAGACTGCAGTACTTCAGGGTGAATCTATGACAGGCGGTGGCTCAAATGCATCCCTGCCATAGGCAGCGCAGCTCTGCCCTGTGGGCACCCAGCCCACAAGCCTTTGCATGTGGCAGCCTCCTCTGTGCCTGGTGTGTGCTGAGCCTTGTGTGTCCTCTTCCTCTCTGTGGGCCCTCTGTGCATCTCCCCTCCTTTGTTGCCATCCCCACTGAAGCTGATTTCCTTCCCAGCAGGGCAAGGCAGGGTAGGTCGAGGGACACCTGACCGCATGCCGGACGTGGTGGTGGAGATGGCTGAGGCCGACCTGCAGGCCCTTCTGTGCAGGGAGCTGCGGCCCCTGGGTGCCTACATGAGCGGGCGGCTACAGGTGAAGGGTGACCTGGCTGTGGCCATGAAGCTGGAGGCCGTGCTCCAGGCCCTGAAGTAGCAGCCAACAAGAGCCACTTATCACCCAGCCTTCAGGCTTTATGGAGGAGGAGGCTCCATCCTGCAACGAGGATGGACAGTGGAGGGCCAGCCTGGAGCTCCTGGCGGAAGTGGGAGAGGCCATCCAGCACATTGCCTCTGTGGTGGCCCCTAGGCAGGCTCTGTCCCGCCCTCCCTCCTGCCAAGTGCCCATCTTGGAACATCTTGATGCCACCTGGCCTGGGTCTGGACCTGCACGAAGGACTGAGGCTTTGTGGATCCAAGTGTGTGATCAGGGACCAGAGAGGCTGGGGAGGGCAGAGTCCCAGGAAGAATTTGCTGCCCCCTGAGGTCAGCTCCCCGCCCTGCAGCATTCCAGCCTGGCCATTGTGGACACACGACAGCAGGGCTGCCTCCGCCTGTTCTGCGCTTCGTGTCTGACCTGGGGCCCAGAACCGCACAGGGGCGCTGATGTTCATGCTGCTTCCGGGTTCCACCCCTGTGACCAATAAACATGGCACTCAGTGGGGCACAGAATGTGGGGCGTGGACTGTGACTGTGGGTGTGGGATGGGCTTAGTGTCTACGCAGCCAGGCCCCACAAAGGCGTGGGCATGGTTCTTTCTGTTTCTCTTCCCTTTTTGGCTTTTTTTTGAGACAAGATCTCACTATGTAGCCCCAGCTGGCTTTGAATTCTCAGTCCCCTTCCTGCCTCAGCCTCCTGAGTGTTGCGGTTGTAGACACACATATCCACTCCTGGCTCTGTCCCTCTAATATTTGGGTGGGGGTTTGTCAGGAAATTGGGACATGATGTGCCAGCATATTCACCCGAGGACCCTTGGCTCTCAGGAAGGGGAAGCCCTGGCAGGAGAAAACAGAACCACACATGACAGCCAGTCCTCCGGGGAGGCACAGCAGCCCAGTGACTCAGGCCTGTCCCCCAGGCCCATTCTAGTTCCCTCGCTGTCCTCGCCAGCACTAGTCCCTGCCTGTTCCTCTAGGTCCTCACCTGGCTTGGGCCACCTCCCTGGAGCCCAGTGTAGTCCCTGCTGCTGTGTTCTGGGCCTCCCTCGGGCCCTAGCCTCTGTGCTTCCTGGGAGCCTTTTCTAGGCCTCTCCTTGGTCCACTCACCACATGGCCACCCTGAGGCCTCGCAGAGATGTCCCTGCCTGAGTGCCCTGCCACCAGTCTGTTCCTGTGGGTTGCAAGCCCTGGGGCTTGGTCACCACAGCTGCCTTCCAAGGCCGCTACCCTGGGAGCCCAGGACCTCTCTCAGAGCCTGTGCTGGGCTCCCTCCCCCACGATGAGCTCACCCCTAGGGAAACAGAAACTCCCAGACCTTTGCAGGTGTGAAATAATCAGCAGAGCTTTTAGGGGAAAGTGAAACTTATGCCTGTGCCAGGGGAGATTGAGGTGTGTCGCTGCTATGCCCCACGCTGCACAGGGAGGGAGGATAGAGAGCTCTTGCAGGCCCCAAAGGAGAGTATGGGCCCCTGTCAATCAGGGACAGCTTCCTGGAGGGCAGAGGGAAAGTCCCTGCCCAGGCACAGGCAGATCAGGCAGGCTGGTACCTCTGAGGTGACAGTGTTGTGTGCAGGGACTTTGTGGGAAGGGGGCAGAAGTAACCATCATTGTGTGCCAAATATGTCCCTATACTGAATGAGCCGCTTCCAGTATTTTCCTCAGAATCTAGTAGAGGGTAATTAATGCAAATTAGTGTGTTAATATGCAGTGCATTATTTTGAAGTAAGTATACTTTGAGTAGTTCATACATCCCCACGTTGTTCGACAGATTAAAAGGCATTCTATGAAAAGCGCCCCTCGCCCACTCAGCTCCAGCACATGTGACGACCTTCCCCTCATGGCTGCTTTCTCTGCCATGGGTTCGGCTCTCAGCTTTTCTCCCAGACGGTTTCTGTTATTTAAAAGCACACTGTTACATAAGGAAACTACAGAGATCGAAATACACACTGTTTAAATAAAATTTATTACAATGAAAGACACTGCCATCAATTTCCCCCAAAATTCTCACTTTGAACACATCGTACCACTTTCACCGCTTTCTGAAGCGGGTCTGGAAGTGCTATTTTGTGAGTTGTCTTTACCAGGTATGAAAAGATACAGTGAATGCTGCTTCCCAGCGCCATCCAACAGAAAGTCACATAAAAGCGTTCTGAGGGGTCCTCACCCACCATATCCACTGGGCCTGACACACCTGTAAGGCATAGGCTTTCATCAAAGTCAAAATGACCATGAAAGGGAAGCTTCTTTTTTGTTTTGGTTTGGTTTTTTATTTTGGAGACAGGGTCTCAGCAGTTCAGGCTGCCCTCAAGCTGTTGTTTAACCCAGGCTGACCTTGAACTCACAGTGATCCTCCTGCCTCAGCCTCCTGAGTGCTGGGATTACAGGCATGAGCCACCATGCCTGGCTTGAAAGGTGTGTGAGGCTGAGGCCCAGGGTTCCACTGCCAGAAATCTTAGATTAGCTGAGAAAGAGAGGGGAAGGACAGATAGGAGGAGGGGGAGAGGGGAAGAGGGAGAGAAGGAGGTTGGTGACCAAGGAAAGACTAATGAAACAGGCCAGGGAAAGAGAGGGAGGTAGCAGGTAGGAAAGGACAGGAGGAAGAGTGGCGGGCGCCCTCTGATCCAGACTGCACCCCACACTAGCCGTGGGGTTGGGGACAGAGGAACGAGGCCGCGAGGGACCTGTGCTGCCCGCAGGCTCTGGGCCCTACTGCGACCCTGCCACAGAGGCCAAGTTTGCCACTCAGCTGGGTCGTGCGAACCTGGAGCTTCGCGGCCTAAGCTCGCCGCGCCACCTTGTGGCGGGCCCTCGGCTATAACAAGTATTCCCTTTCAGTTGTAGCTTTCCGGGGTCCCTCTGCACATTTTGCTAAGCGTTAAAATGTCCAACGTTCCTACACTAAATATAACAATATTATAAAACAGTGTAAAGTAAATCTTGCAAGGTTTCCTTGGGGATCACCCTGCCAAAAGTTGTGCATTTGTGGTGTAATTACCCACCGGCTCTCAGCATTCTTTTTTCTCTCTCCTATACTGGGGAGTTGAACCCAGGTCCTCGGCACCGTGCTACATCCCCAGCCCTTTTTTGTATTTTTTTGATTTTTGAAACGGGTCCCTGTGTCTCCCACTTGCCTGTGTTGGGCTCAAACTCACAGTCTTTATGCCTCAGCCTCCCCAGGGGCTACAGGTGTGCACCATGGCCTCCAGAGCCACTTGTACCCTTATGTGCCTGCAGAATTTAAAATCATCTGATGCACAAACTCTTCAAGTAAGAAAATGATCATAGACACTGTATTTAATAAACTGACGGTGAATTACTGTGATGGCGTACACTAACAGTCAGTGCCCTTTAGAGGCAGTTGATGAAGCGCTCGCTAACTTGGATCATTCTGCAGTTCTTACACTTTGGAGTGGAGACTTTCTTAGATTTCAACTCTTATTTAGGCCCCGAAGAAAGTTGGGCACTGACTGGGCTGACCCTCAGGGACTACCTTAGTCCAGAAGACATGGGGTCCCATTTTAGCACCTCTCCTCTCAGGTACTCAGGAGGCTGAGGCAGGGGGATTGAAAGTTCTCAAAGTCAGTGAGAACGAATTTAAAAGGAGGAAAGAACTAAGAAAGGAAGAGAGCTCTCTTCCACACTGTTCATGGGATGTGCAGGAGAAAGACTCAGGGACAGGAGAACCCCTTGGTGGTGGCCGACGCAAGCTGGCGGTGTCACTATAGGAGGAGAACTGGCTTCAAATGCCACCTGATCCTCAGCCGGGCGCTGGGCCTCACACCGTTGAGCGCTTGAACTACACAGCTTCAGCCTGCGACCTGAAGCCCAACAGTCTGTCACATTGCAGATTTCTCCACCAGGGGGCGAGCGAGAGCCCTGAGAACTGCAGGCCCTGGCGCCACTGTTGATCGCTGCATTTTAAAATTGTTTATTAGTATCTTTCAGTACTGGGAATTGGACCTAGGGACACTCGACCATGGCGCTACATCCCCGGTGCTTTTTATTGTTTTGAGACAGGGTCTAACTAATTTGCTCCAGGCTGGCTTGGAAACTGACTATCTTCTTGCCTCAGCCTTCTGAGTAGCTGGCATTACAGGTGTGTGCCAATGTGTCTGGCTGAAACTCACGGTAGATATAGAGTTTTTAAAAAGGGGACAAATTTACAGGAAGAATAAGAAGATTAATACCAACCACAACCATGTAAATGGTGTAAAAGATTCAGTTTCGTTTCTCAGCTCCCAGCGGGTATGATGGGAACAGAGGCTCAGCACACAGACAACTCAGAATGCAGAACAAAAGGAAGAGCCCCTTTGATCATCCCAGGAGGCTGAGGCAGGAGTATCACCTCAATTTTGAGACCAGCCTGTGTTACACTGTGTAAAAGAAACAAAAAAACTAAAGGAAGAAAATACAAATCCACTCTTTTATTACACAGCACGAGCACACAGAGAATCAGTCTATTTATGGTCAACTTAAATATCACCATTAACCAGCTTCATCCAGTCAACTTTTTATAGGCGCCCACCCCACTGCAGCAGCACTGGGGCTCGGGGCACTTGGCCAGCACAGACCATATTCCAGCCCATAAATCAATTCTTAACAAATTAAAAATAATTGGAATCATACAAAGTGTGTTCTAACCTGCTAATGAAATTAAACTATAAATCAATAAGCAGAAAGACATCTGGAGAATCCCCAACTATCTGCAAATCCAACAACATACTTTTTAAGTAACCTAGGACTCAAGAGGAGAAAGCAGAATAATTAGAAATATTTTAAGTCAGTGAAAATAAAAAGACAATGCATCAAAATTTGGGGGATACAATTTAAAGCAGTGTTTAGGAAAAAAATCTTGGTTACTTTGTTTAGATAAAGATTTCTTAGATTAGGGCTGGATGTGGTGATATATGCCTGTAATCCCAGCATTTAGGAGGCTGAGGCAGGAGGATCACAGGAGTTCAAGGCCAACCTGAACTATACAGTAAGACCCTGTATCAAAAAAAAGAAAAAAAAAATCTTAGGCTAGAAGGCACATTCTAGAAAAGAAAATAAACACTGACAGATGGGCTCTCACCAAAGTTGAAAGCTTCTGCTCTTAAAAAGGTCACAACAGGGCTGGGATTTAGCTCAGTGGCACCTGCCTGGCAAGTGTGAGGTCATGAGTTCAATCCCTGGTGCCAAGAAAAAATAAGAAAACGAAAAGATAGATCACAGAGTGGGGAAAATATTTGCAAAATACATAATTGATAAAAGACTTCACCAGAAGAGACAAGGAACACTTCCCACTGAATAATAAGGCACACAACACCAGGCATGGTGGTGCATACCTGTAATACCTGCACTCAGGAGGCTAAAGCAGGGGGATCACTGTGAGTCTGAGACCAGCTTGGACTACACAGTGAGGCCCTATCCCAAAAACAAAAAGAAAAATCAGCAAAAGGATTTGAGTAGAGACTGCCCTGAAGAGGACAGTGGCTGATAATCACATAACAGAAAGTCCACATTATTAGTCCT